TTCAGGGGAGAACATCTTGTGGGGCGTTGTGACTATCGCTCGAGATTATACTCTTATTATCATCATTCCTCCCGCTGTCTGGGGGCTCATGCTGTCCAGCAAACACAAGAAGGACCGGCTGGCCCCGAGCACACCCAGTGTCACGCCCCATCTCCCCACAGTCTCTCTGGTGCAGCCACAGCACCCACCATAGTTACAGCCACTGTGTCCCCACCGCCTCCATCTCTGTGGCCACCCATCCTCATGCAACATGTCCCAATCACTTTGTCAGCACTGAGCAACCTTGGGGATGGCTGCACCTTAAGTTCTTTCAACCCCCTTAGAGGCCAGCTTCTGAAGAGGTCTCCACAGGCGTGGTGGTGGCCCTCTGGTCCTGTCAAGTATCTCAAGGGTCTAACACCAGAGGAAGCGCCAGTGTAGATGAAAGAGCTTATGGTTTAACAGGGATGCAGAGTCTCACCATCTCTTTAAAAATTTATGATTTTGTAATTTATTCTGTTTTTGCCCCTTTTCCTTGGTTTGTTCCCTCGTGTTTTACTCAAAATAAACATGGCCATGAACTCAGGGGCCACTGGGAATCCTCCCCTCCAGCAGCCCCAGGTGGAAGCTGGGAGAGTTTCCTGCTGGGAGGGGGTTGCTAGGTCACATGGCTGGCAGCCCCCACATTGTGGCATCCTGAGGGGTGTGGTGGGGCTCCTGTTGGGCCAGGTCTCAGTGGTGTGTGAAGCTGGAGGGGAATCTGCTACAGAGGGACCAGGCCAGGGCCAAACGGTTCTCTGACAGCCCAGCAAAGGCACCCCACTAAACAATGCCGGTCATCAAGGGAAAAAGACAGGAAGCAACACCTGCAAAAACCTGCAAAAGACCCACTTGTATTCCCTTCATATGTGTGTCAAAATGCTCATCTGCCAACTTGGCTGTGAGGTAATGTATGTAAAGCACCGAGTCAGGTGCCTGACACATAGTAGGTGCTTAGTAAATGGTAGCTATTACTCTCATCATTGTCGTTATCACGTGACTCCCATGGGCCCTCAGACAGAGCGGTATTAAGCAACATGGTTTTGAATTGAGACACGCACTTCCCCACCTGCTATGACTATCCCCCTTTGATCTATTTTTGGCAATAGGTGAAAAATCTCTGTTTGAAGTGTATAAACATCAAGCATAGAAGCCAAAAAAACAATCACTGGTATTTCTTTACTCCTGTAGGCAAATTCACCACTACTGACCAAAGGCACATAAGCTTGTTTGCAGACCCTACCTCCTGGGTGCTCCCATGACCATCTTTCCAACCCCCACCCCTATACCATGTCATATGCCTGATTCCACTGGGCCCTGTCCCCAGGGCACCAGGCTTCCATCCATCACAGCGGGGCCACTGTGGGCATTACGAGTCTTGGTTAGGATCGTACCCTCATGGATTCTTGACCACCACGCCTCAGTTTCTCCACTGGCCGTCATTGCTCCCTCTTCAAGGTACAGTGGAAATTAGATGACATATGTTGAGTCCTCAGAATGTCTCCAGAGGTGGCGCTATAGACCCAGAACCTCACCAGGCAGTCCATAGGACCTCAGCGCAGAGCCTGGCACTTGGCAGATAGGAGGCGATAATGGCTGAAATGAAACCCTATCCCATGTTATGGGGTCTTTTGACCTGACCTCTCCTCCTTCCACCCTTTTTTTAATCCCCTTACATTTCACACAGACCTTCTGTTTCAGAACCAAATTGCAATTCAAGTTTCCTCTGCACCCACCATTGCCCAAAAGAAGGTCTTCCCTCCCAGGCTGTGCTGCCACCGAGGCACAGAGTATGTGGTCAAAGGGAGTTCCAGCATAGCAGGCGCCTCTGCACCCTCAGTTATCCGGGGCAAGGGCCTGGCTGCCTCTGCTCTTCGCCATGGCTGCCAGCAGGGCACGGTGGGCTTCCCCAGCGCCCCTGGCTGCCGTTCCTGAGTGACGCTTGCCTGAGACTTGGTCCATCCCAGAGATCCCCCGGAGGGCCTGTCCAGAGCCGGGTGGACTGTTGCCTTGAGATGGAGTAGGCTAAAGGCTTCCAAACACCTCTGGGGACAGCCAGAGGAGAGGGCCGGCCAGCAGGCTCGATAGAGGTAAGGGTGCTTCCGATGGATTTAAACCCAGAGCAATAACCCCTCATGCCACCTCCCAGCCAGGCACGCTTGGTCCTGAGACCACCACTACATGATCCCAGTAGATCATGCCTAACAACAGGGTTGTTCCACCCAGCATGGCCAGTCCAAGGTCAGTCTACTCTGCAGACCTTAGAATGAAAGTACACTTGGAAAATCTGGTCTTGGCCAGTTCCCCATTGGCTTGATCTACACAGCCAAAAATTCAGACCAGATTAGACTTTTGAAGGCAGCTCTGTAGCAAAGCAAGT